CATAGAGATCTTATCATGCTTAATATAATACTAGAAAATTTGCATTACTACTCTTCTCCCTGATTCTCTAATAACATTTTTTTGTCACTGTTTCATATGTATGTGGATCCTTCTGAGGAAATTGGGAGGACGAAAAAGAACTTTGAACAACATAGAAGAAGTGTTAATGAAAAGTGTTAATGTATATATGGTATATATTCTTACATTTATTAGGTATTGATTTCCTAGATATATTAGGTATTGCCATAGTTAGGTCTCTTATAGGATACTCTTTCTTATAGTTAGATTTCTAGTAGGATACTTTTTCTTAGCCTCTATATACAAGCCTTCTATTGTATAAGACAATTCATTCAATGCAATACATATTATTTCTTCTCTCTCTACTATTCTAACATGGTATCAGAGTTAGGTTAAGAACCTAGTAATTTCACCTCACCAGTGGGCGGCAGCCTCTCCTTGGCCGCCCGCCAGACCTCAACCTGTTCCGCTGTCATATTTTCCTATCAATATCGCTTCGTGGTGATCTCTTCCTTTATCCACTAGTTTATTACTACCCTAAATATCTCTATCATATTTTTTTTTTGTGTGCTTCTACTCCACTCTTTCTTTCCCTCTGCTTCAACCTCAAATAAGTTTCTATGCTCAAACCTATTTGAGTTTGAGGGGGGTATTATACCTATATCATGGTGAACATGGTTATACACCATGCAAGCCACCTAAGCCGCCTCCTTTTGGCGCACTCTCTAAGCCGTCTCCTTGGCGCACAACCCAAGCCATTATTCTTATATCATGGTGAACATGGTTCTACACCATGCAAACCACCTAAGCGCCTCCTTTTGGCGCACCATCCAAGCCGTCCTCTCTGGCGCACAATCCAAGTTGCCCTCTCTGGTGCACAACTCAAGCCGTCCCCTTTGACACATGTGCGGACCAATTTCTGCAATAGAGTAAGATGGATCCTTGGCGCACAACCCAAGCCATTATACCTATATCATGGTGAACATGGTTATACACCATGCAAACCACCTAAGTCGCCTCCTTTTGGCGCACCATCCAAGCCGTCCTCTCTGGCTCACAATCCAAGTTGCCCTCTCTGGTGCACAACTCAAGCCGTCCCCTTTGACACATGTGCGGACCAATTTCTGCAATAGAGTAAGATGGAACTTCGTGGACGAACCCTGGTGCACCAATGGGTGAAGGCCTGCACAAAGAACAAATAGTTAGGCTGCCTGACCGGGGGTTGGTCGGAAACCCCTCCGACGGTCGAGTCAGTACTGGAGTTTGGTAGAGACAAGATAGAGAAGACCAGTGTGTTTTTAGAGTTAAGAGATTGCCCCTTTCAAGGAGAGTAAGGTTACCTTTTATAAGGATCGTATGACTTATTCATCAAGCTCCCTCATTCTCCGCCTGGTCCTCAGCCGTGATGGTAGCACATCCTTTAATAGAGGGGAGCAAGATCCGTCATTCGCGGGCACCACCTGCCCTTTACTTTACAGGGTATTGATTGATCTGTTAGCACTCATGTGTCATGGAGTGGGACCCTTGGAGCCCAAGTTATGGACTTACCCTCTTCAGAGTGGGAAGGGGTGCTAGGGCCAGGCCCATGGTCTTCCCCTTTTCGGAGTGGGGAGTAGGCCAAGATTGATCCCTTAGCTCGGCCCATCATAGAGTGGAGAGAGAGAGCCCACTTCGGAGTGGGGACCTTCGTCCAGTCCAACGAGGCTTCATACAAAAGGCTTGAGTACGGAGTAGGGATCTTTGTCCAGTCCAATGGGGACCTTCGTCCAATCCAACGAGGTTCCATACAAATAGGCTTGAATAATTGTGCCCCCTTCATTTGCCCCCTGGCTTGCACTAAAAATTATTGAGTGGAAGCCATTATTTGTATCTCAGTCCAATTTGCTTAAACTTTACGTCAGCCTTCAAATTTATTTATTTATATATATTTATTATTATTATTATTATTTTTTTATTATTATTATTTTTTTTTAATTTTATAATATTGTATACATATACATACCATATACAAAATACAAATATGTATACATGCATACATAGACAAACTCTACATATATGGAGTCACACACACACAAATATACGGTATACATATACACAGACATATACGGTATACACAGGTTTATGTACAAACAAAATACATACAGATACGTACATACGGTATACATATACACATTTGGGGAATATTTCGTTACAAAGAAGGAATATTCCGTTTGTTGACGTCAGCGCCCGCAAGACGCACAAAAACAAAGAAAAAGAAATGTGTTGATCCGGGGGTTCGAACCTTTGACCTCAGGCTTAGTCTCTTGGTCCTCAACCACTGAGTCAAACCATTGAACCAAGCCACTGTTGTGACCAAAATATTCAAACAAATATATATATAATACATAGTTATACAATATATATACATACATACATACACATACAAACCTCCTACGCCTCTCTCTTTTTTGATAACCGCGTCTGACACGCGGCCTGCTTTTGCGTCACTAGCCGACAAAAGCAGGCCTCGAATGACGCTCGCCTCGGCTTCTTTCCCTCTTTGTCTTCTTCTCTTTAGCCTCTTCTCTTCAGCCTTCTTCTTCATCACTCACCACTCTCCTTCTTCATCACTTACATCTGTTTCTTCTTCCTCTCCTCGAGAGACAAAAAGAGAGACTGAACGAAGGAAGCTCTGCTATTTTTGCAACTCAGTTCTTTTACACCTATCACCTCTAATCCATGGCTTCCTTGTCCCGTCCTCTCACTCTGTTTCTGGATCTGAACGATCCCATAAACTCTTCTGGTTCAGGGCCGAGTGCCCCTACAGCTTCTCTTCCTAACCTTCCTGTGTTGTCGATTGAGAAAATAATGGCCGCTCAATCCAACATAGAAGCCAACCACTTTACATTGAGGTCTTGCACGGAGACAGTGGCGGCGGTCACTAACTTGTCTTTCCGACTGCAGGTCAGGACGAGTGAAGTACACCAGGTCAATGTCTAACTCCCTCTACTCCAGCGTATGTACAAAGATGGACGAGCAGAGATTTGCGCGCTGAAGGCGGAGAACAAAGAGTTGAAACGGAAAGCCACCGTCATGGCCCGATATGGAGCACCTTCGTACTTTGCTTTTGATGACCAGTAGGGAGCCAACCCTCTCGGTGGTCCTGTAAACACTAAGGTAGGGCCTTCAAGGGTCGACGACAAAAAGCGGAAGAGCCGAGTAAGTGAAGTCGGCATGTGGCCGTCATCGGAAAAACAAGATCCTTTTTGTTTCTGTTTTCACTTCTTCTTCTTCTTCTTCTTCTTTTTTTTTTGCAAGTGTTGGAGTTCGGCTAGTTTGACATCGTCATTTTGTAAGGCCGAGCTCCTCTTTTTGTAATGGATCCTTTATAGTAATGCCAAGCTTTGTTGCATTTTTGTATGTCTTGAACTTTAATTTCTAATTTTTGCTTGCATGTGTTATGCTTGCCCTCGGTCGAGCAGGGGCTCTCTAGAGAAGGAGGCCGCCTATTTGGTCTAATCAGGCTCCGTGCCGTAGAAAAATTGGAAGAAATAACTTTTGATGCCCCCAATCCAAGCAGAGACGCCGTAGGGAAGGAGGCCATTTGTTTGGTAAAACTAGGCTTTGTGCCTTAGAAAAATTTGAGGAAAGAATTTTCCATGCCCTCCGGCCAAGCAGAGGCTTCGTGGCCGAGCGGACCTTCTATTCGGGCCAAATAGGCATTGTGCCTTAGAAAAATTGAAAGAAAGAACTTTCTATGCCCTAGCCGAGCAGAGGCTCTGAGACTATATAGGGCGTCTAATCGGGCAGACCAGGCTTTGTGCCTTAGAAATGTCTAGTTGGATTTAGCTGGGCATTTCGTTGCTCGGCTTTTATTTGATTCGGTCAAGCTTAACTCATCGTAGAGTGTAACTCAGCTCTTCATTGAGCGCGAGTTATTACCATGGACCATGCTTTCAAGTAACGATACTTGGCATAAATTCCACCAAGCTATACCACTTGGCGCCTTACTCCAACTGAAGGGCTGAGTTTGCAGGCTGGGGCGTAGGTTAAGACCTGTAACCCGTTCTTGCTCAATTATTGAGCGAAAATATGTACGACACATATGAAGAAGAACACAATTCATAGGGAAAAGGTGATTTCAATAATACTGAGAGAATTGCGATTACAAAAGCTGTTTAGATCATTACATCACTGATAGTATTTCTTTAAGTTGGCAACATTCCAAGGACGAGGAATGGGCTTGCCTGCTAGGTCAGTCAGGTAGTAAGCTCCGTTGCCTAAGGCAGAGGTAACTCTGTGAGGCCCTTCCCAGTTAGGGCCGAGTTTCCATTCACCAGGGACCTTCTTATGATCCATGACATTCCTTAGCACCAGATCTCCAGGTAGAAATTGGCAAATTAGCACATTTTTATTGAAACTTCTAGTAAGTTGTTGTTGGTATGCTGCTAGACGAATGAGCACGGCCTCTCTGCGCTTCTCTGTCAGGTCAAGAGCTTGGGCGATAACCTCATCATTTTTTGCTGGTTCAAAAATTTCAGACTGAATAGTGAAAAGGCCGACCTCTAAAGGGATGATGGCCTCCATCCCATAAGTGAGAGAGTAAGGCGTCTCCCCTGTCGATCGCCGTGGTGTTGTTCTGTATGCCCACAGAACATTTGACAGTTTTTCCACCTATTTGCCTTTAGCCTTTTCCAGTCGTTTCTTTATCCCATTGATAACCGTCTTGTTAGACGTTTTAGCTTGACCATTGCCTTGAGGGTAGACTGGAGTAGAATTTCGAAACTCAATTTTTAAGTCAGAACAAAACTTCCTGAAAACCTTCCCATCAAACTGGGTGAAGCTCCGTTGCCTAAGGCAGAGGTAACTCTGTGAGGCCCTTCCCAGTTAGGGCCGAGTTTCTTTTCACCAGGGACCTTCTTATGATCCATGACCTTCCTTAGCACCAGATCTCCAGGTAGAAATTGGCAAATTAGCACATTTTTATTGAAACTTCTAGTAAGTTATTGTTGGTATGCTGCTAGACGAATGAGCACGGCCTCTTTGCGCTTCTCTGTCAGGTCAAGAGCTTGGGCGATAACCTCATCATTTTTTGCTGGTTCAAAAATTTCAGACCGAATAGTGAAAAGGCCGACCTCTAAAGGGATGATGGCCTTCATCCCATAAGTGAGAGAGTAAGGCGTCTCCCCTGTCGATCGCCGTGGTGTTGTTCTGTACGCCCACAGGACGTTTGGCAGTTCTTTCACCCATTTGCCTTTGGCCTTCTCCAGCCGCTTCTTCATCCCATTAATGACCGTCTTCTTAGACGTTTTAGCTTGACCATTGCCTTGAGGGTAGACTGGAGTAGAATTTCGAAACTCAATTTTTAAGTCAGAACAAAACTTCCTGAAAACCTTCCCATCAAACTGGGTGCCGTTGTTAGATAGTAGGGCCCTTGGGATGCCAAACCGAGTAATGACGTTCCTCTAAACGAACCTTTTCATGTCAACTTCCTTTATGCTTGCTAAGGCTTCAATCTCCACCCACTTAGTGAAATAGTCAATGGCAGCAACGAAGAACCTTTTGTTAGCAGTACCCCTTGCTAGAGGTCCAACGATGTCTAGACCCCATTGTGCAAATGGCCATGGACTGGTGAGGGGAGTTAAGTTCTTGGCTGGTTGATGAATGAATGGGGCAAACCTTTGGCACTTGTCGCATTTTTGGACATATTGTTTGTGATATCCCTGTTCCGTAATATGTTAATTGGTCCTTAATATGAGCATGATTATGTGTTTAATATGATTTTGTGTGTCGTTATGTGAAAATATGTGGTTTTGAATTTCTATCTGTTCACCGTAAGAATATCTGTTTAATTATCTGCGTTGGAAATTAAATTGAAGGTCCTATCGGCCACAAAACCCGAAATTGATTGCGCCATCATGATTGGCATAATTTTTAGAGCCTACGGTGAAATTTGATTGAAAATTGATTTGGATCAAATTAATTAGATTAAATTAATGAATTAAGTGCCCAATTGTTTTATAATAAAATAATGTGTTGAGTGGGGGCTTTTATACACTCAATTTCTCTCCTTAGCCTCATTTTGGCTGATGATAAACTCTAAGAAGAGAAGAGAGGGTCGGTTAGAGAGAGGAAGGGAGAGACTTGTGCAATTTTTGGCTCAAGCTTGGGGATTTAAAGACTTAACTCAAGAATTGACTAGAGCTTGGGTGCTTGAAGCTCTTAGGTGAGTGGATTCATGAATATTAAGTTGTGATTTTGTGAATTTAAATTGGAATAATGGTCAAGAACATGAATTTGATTGAGCATGATGTAATTGAATTTGTTTTGTTGAATTGAGGGTCAATATGTGCATACATGTAAGAAATTGTTTTGAATTTGCATGTTTGAGCTTGAAATACATGATTCATGTAGAGTTTTGGTTAAAGCTCATGTTATGAGCACCATTTGTATCATCTAAGTTGAGAATGAGAGTAATACATCACATGCATGTGCAATTTATGAGGATAGGAGCTTTGAATACATGAATGTGTTATGATGAAAACGAGTTTGGTGTAATTTGAGCCATGCATGTGATTATTTTGTGAAATTGAGCTCCATTATGTTGTAATTTGGTGTTTGTACCATGTTAGTACATGAATATGTGAAGTTTGAGCTGGGATTATGAGTTTGGAACCTTTGGAGGTCGTTTTGAGCTCAAAAACACATTCTGGAGAACCCGGAAATTTGATGAGCATGAATTTCGTGCTCCCAGCACTTTTTGCAGACATGGTGTCCGCTTGAGCGGGGTAATTTCACGCTCGAACGGGGAGCCATATAGTGAGACCTTTCGCTCGAGCGCTAGACTTCAAGCTCAAGCGTAAATTTGATGCATCCAGTACTTTTGCAGGCCTCAAGGGTACGCTCGAGCGGGGAAGTCTACGCTCGAGCGGGGACCCTATTTTTTGAAATTTTGAAAAGACATTCTGTGTTTCATTTTCTGTTCTTTTTCACTTCTATGTACTCTTAGGCATGCATTGAGCATTTTAATTGAGTTAAAGAGATAAGAATAAAGCCTAAAGAGGAAAATGTGAATTTAAGAACGGATTGAATTGTTGGCGACCCTTTTTGTGTTCATGGACTGTGTAGAGTCGAGCTCTAGGGAAAACCAACAAACCGATCACTGTGAGTAATATCGATATTTGGAAGCTTGTCATTTGTCCAATTGCTTATTTTCTTATAAGCCTTATGCCTTATGATTTGCTAGTTTGAATTGTGGACAAATGTCTGATAAGAATGAATGGGCCAGAGGCCGTTTTGACAAAAAATGATGAATGGACCAGAGGCCGTTTTGACATGAATAGATGGGCCAAAGGCCGTTTTGACATGAATGGATGGGCCAAAGGCCGTTTTGACATGAATGGATGGACCAGAGGCCGTTTTGACATAAATGGGTGGGCCAGAGGCCGTTTTGACAGGAATGAAAGATAAATGGGCCAAAGGCCAGTATGTTTGAAACCACAGTCACTTGACTTAAATCGTGTATATAAATGTTAAATAAAAATGTGAATTGGGCCCAAGGCCGTTCAGAGTATGTTGTTCTACATATCGTTTGTATCTTCTTATTTGATGTTATTCACTAGGCTATCGCTCACGCTCATTCATGTGTTTGTAGGTGAGCCAAGAGAGGTCCAGACCCAGCCCCAGTGAAGTCTGTGTGGAATAACCGAGTTTTGGAGAGTCAGCCTTAGCGTCTCACACATGAGACTCGTCTTGGCCTTTCGGCTATGCTATGTTATTTTTGTCAAGAAGGCGAGGACTTTGCATATGTCTGTATATAGTTTTCATGGGTTGACTTAGTTTTTGGATGATCTTGTTTGTACAGAACTTATACTACTGTACTTCTGTTGTGAGTTATTAATGTATATATGTTTGGTTGTTTGGATGTACCATGTAAGCACAGCTCTATGGACAAAGTTTTGAACTGCTTCCGTTTGGCCCCCATTAACTCTGTTGAAATACATTTGTTTTGGTTTGAGGCCATAGGTAATCTCATGATTACTGGCCGGTTATGTCCTTAACCCACGGGGGCGGGTTCGGGTCATGACACTGTTGGGCATCTTTCTGCATACACGGCCACCAGTACCCATGAGTGAGGGCTCGGTGTGCCAAGGACCGACCTCCAGTGTGATTGCCACAGATCCCCTCATGGATTTCATAAAGAAAGTTCTCCACAAGATGGGGTGAACACAAAGAAGATACGGACCAAGGTAAGACTTTTTGTAGAGCTTGCCCGAAGGTGAGACCCAAAATCGCGCAGCTCGGTGCCTTGTTTTATGTGTTTCTTTCTTGTCATTTGAAAGGGCACCATTTTTTAAGAAGGCAAGGAGTGGGTCCATCCAGCTCGGACCGAGGTCAGTACAGAGGACCGAGCTGGGTAGATCGATAGTCGGTTGAGGAACAAATTCAACCCATATCTTGCGACCATTTTTGGAGTCCACCGAAGAGCCAAGACAGGCTAAGGCATCGGCGTGGCTATTTCCATAACGGCCAATTTTCACAACCCTGATAGCTTGAAATTTGCGGATCAGGTGCTTGGCTTGTTCTGCATAGGATGTCATCCGGTCATTGCGGCCAGAGGCCGTTTTGACATGAATAGATGGGCCAAAGGCCGTTTTGACATGAATGGATGGCCAAAGGCCGTTTTGACATGAATGGATGGACCAGAGGCCGTTTTGACATAAATGAGTGGGCCAAAGGCCGTTTTGACAGGAATGAAAGATAAATGGGCCAAAGGCCAGTATGTTTGAAACCACAGTCACTTGACTTAAATCGTGTATATAAATGTTAAATAAAAATGTGAATTGGGCCCAAGGCCGTTCAGAGTATGTTGTTCTACATATCGTTTGTATCTTCTTATTTGATGTTATTCACTAGGCTATCGCTCACGCTCATTCATGTGTTTGTAGGTGAGCCAAGAGAGGTCCAGACCCAGCCCCAGTGAAGTCTGTGTGGAATAACCGAGTTTTGGAGAGTCAGCCTTAGTGTCTTACACATGAGACTCGTCTTGGCCTTTCGGCTATGCTATGTTATTTTTGTCAAGAAGGCGAGGACTTTGCATATGTCTATATATAGTTTTCATGGGTTGACTTAGTTTTTGGATGATCCTATTTGTACAGAACTTATGCTACTGTACTTCTGTTGTGAGTTATTAATGTATATATGTTTGGTTGTTTGGATGTACCATGTAAGCATAGCTCTATGGACAAAGTTTTGAACTACTTCCGTTTGGCCCCCATTAACTCTGTTGAAATACATTTGTTTTGGTTTGAGGCCATAGGTAATCTCATGATTACTGGCCGGTTATGTCCTTAACCCACGGGGGCGGGTTCGGGTCATGACACTGTTGGGTATCTTTCTGCATACACGGCCACCAGTACCCATGAGTGAGGGCTCGGTGTGCCAAGGACCGACCTGCAGTGTGATTGCCACAGATCCCCTCATGGATTTCATAAAGAAAGTTCTCCACAAGATGGGGTGAACACAAAGAAGATACGGACCAAGGTAAGACTTTTTGTAGAGCTTGCCCGAAGGTGAGACCCAAAATCGCGCAGCTCGATGCCTTGTTTTATGTGTTTCTTTCTTGTCATTTGAAAGGGCACCATTTTTTAAGAAGGCAAGGAGTGGGTCCATCCAGCTCTGACCGAGGTCAGTACAGAGGACCGAGCTGGGTAGATCGATAGTCGGTTGAGGAACAAATTCAATCCATATCTTGCGACCATTTTTGGAGTCCACCGAAGAGCCAAGACAGGCTAAGGCATCGGCGTGGCTATTTCCATAACGGCCAATTTTCACAACCCTGATAGCTTGAAATTTGCGGATCAGGTGCTTGGCTTGTTCTGCATAGGATGTCATCCGGTCATTGCGAGTTTCGTATACTCTAGTCAATTGGTTCACCACAAGTTGGGAGTCACTATAAACGAGTAACTCCTCTGCATTAAAGTGTTCAGTGCTGCGTAGACCAGCTAGCAGAACCTCGTACTCCGCTTCATTGTTGGAAGCCTTCCATCCCAGTCTGATGGCTTGCTTCCAAACAAACCGCTCTGGTGAAATAAAGACCATTCTTGCTCCAGAACCCTTTTGGTTGGAGGATCCATCAACGAACAGCTTCCAAACGTCTCTAATGGAAAGTTTCCATGCCTCGGTGGGGGTTTGATGAGTGTTGTGGATTTCGGTTTCTAAGGCCAAGCTTCTTCGGAAGAACCGGTCAGTCCTGGAGTGAATTCAGCTACGAAGTTTGCTAACACTTGAGCTTTGATAGCAATCCGTGGCTGGAATTTAATGTCAAACTCCCCCAATTCTACTGCCCACTTCGCTGTCTGACCTGAGAAATCAGCTCGGCTGAACACGGACTTTGGAGGGTACTCTGTGAGGACATTGATAGTGTGTCCTTGGAAGTAGTGAGCAAGCTTCCTAGAGGCTATCAGTAGGGCATATGCCAGCTTCTCTAGAGGTAGGTAACTGGTTTCGGCATCCAATAGGGTTTTGCTAACGTAGTATATTGACTTTTGTTCCTTCCCTTCCTCTCTAATCAAGACTGCACTCACAGCGTGATCGGAGACAGCCAAGTAAAGAAAGAGCTCTTCGTTAGGGACTAGAGTAGACAAAAGTGGAGGGAAAGAAAGATACTTTTTTAACTCTGTGAGTGCTTCGAAGCATTGGTCACCCCATTCGAAGTCTACCTTTTTCCTTAAAAGTTGGAAGAAGGGTCTCATTCGATTCATCCGATCAGAGGACCGACTAATAAAACGGTTAAGTGCTGCAGCCATGCCAGCAAGTTTTTGGAGTTCCTTAGCCTTTGTAGGTGCCTTAATGTCTAGGAGGGCTTTGATCTAGTCGGGATTGACTTCGATACCTTGCCTGGTCACCACATATCCCAAGAACTTCCCTGAACCTACCCCGAATGCACATTTCGAGGTGTTCAAGCGAAGCTTGTGGGTCTTCAGGATTTGGAACACTTCCTTCAAGTCTCTCAGATGATGTTCGGCCAATTTACTTTTGACTACCATGTCATCTATATAGGCCTCCATAGTCTTGCCTAGTTGGTTCTTGAACATTTTAGTGACCATCCGTTGATAGGTCGCACCGGCGTTCTTTAGGCCGAAGGGCATCACTTTGTAGCAGTAGGTGCCCCTTGGCTAATGAATGCTATCTTCTCTTAGTCAGAGCCAAACATGGGGATTTGATGATAGCCACTGTAGGCATCTAGGAAGCTCATCTGTTCATGTCCGGCAGTTACATCTACCAGTTGGTCTATCCGTGGAAGAGAAAAGCTGTCCTTAGGACAAGCTTTGTTGAGACTGGTAAAGTCAACGCACACCCTCCATTTTCCGTTCTTTTTCTTTACCACGAAGATGTTAGACAACCATTTCAGATATTGTACCTCCCATATGACCCCGGCCACCAGAAGCTTATTTACCTCTTGGATGACCGCTTCTGTATGTTCCACGGATGATCGTCTGCTCTTTTGGACTACGGCCGAGCTGCTGGTTGGACATTGAGTTGGTGACATGCAAAGGTTGGGTCCAACCCAGGAGTCTTGTAAGCAGACCAGGCAAATACTTCTATATTCTTGCGGAAGAGAGTTAGCAACTGCTCATTTTCTCTAGCGAGAAGCGAAGTGCCGAGCAGAAAGAACTTGTCTGGATCTCTTCCGCCCACCAAGATTGTTTTGAGGTCCTCCACCATCTTCTCTGTTGGTACTCTAGCAATGTCTTCCAATACAGGCTGATCAGGCAGCTCGACCATCTGGACTTCCTTGCATGCTAGTTTAGACTTCATGACGGTGATGGAGCAGTGCTTTGCCACTACTTGGTTACCCTTGATCTCCTCCACCCCATTCTTTGTTGGGAAACGAACTACCTGGTGGTAAGTGGATGGCACTGGCTCCATTTTATGAATCCAAGGTCGACCGAGTATTGCATTGTAAGGAGATAAAGTGTTGATCACTAAGAAGTCGACAGGGACTACTTTGGACTTTGCTGTGACGGACAAGGTGATCCGGCCGAGCGGCCACTCCGTCTGTCCATTAAAACTGACCAAAGGGGAGACTGCAGGGATTAAGTGTTGTTCATCAAGACCCAGCTTTTTGAAAAGGTCATAATACATAATGTCAGCGGCGCTTCCTTGATCAATTAGGACTCGTTTCACATCAAATTTGTTCGTCACACCGACAGTGACGATCAGGGCATCAGTGTGAGGATGTTGGATCCCTTCCAAATCTTTATCGGAGAACACAATGTCGAACCGAGAGGGCTTTGCTTCTGTTCTGGACTTCTTGAGCAATGGTCCTACTGACATAACTTATTACAAGTGCGTGGCTCTCTGAATTTCACCACGAAGGGCATTCTCCCTTTGGGGGTCGGTCATCCCATGGATAACGTTTATTACTAGCCTTGGGGCTTGGTCCTCTGGTAGAGGGGTTGGGGGTTGTCCTTGTTTTGCCCTTATCTTTTCCACATCGATCCATTGCTGGAGGTGGCTGACAGTGACCAAGTCTTCGAGATGCCTTTTAAGGTCTCTGTAGTTCTGCGTCTAATGCCCTTTCTCACGATGGTAGGTGCACCGCCACTCTTGGTTGCGCCGAGCAGGGTCCCCCATCATCTTAGGAGGCCAAACGAAGTAGGGTTCTCCCTTGATTTTTTCCAAGAGCCTGTAGATCGGCTCCGTGAACACAGTGGTTATGGCTTTGTAGGATCTACTCCTTTCTTCTTCGGTTTGCATGGTCGGTTGCTTATTTTGGCCATACCTCATTCTTTGGTCCTCCCTCCTAGGTTGTCCGGCCCTATGTTGCCAAGAGGCCTTAACTCCCTTATCTGCAACTGACACTTGTATAGAGGCTGTGTCATCTTTCACACGGGCTCGCTCCTCTATTCGAGCCCTCAGCTCTTTCAAGTCAGAGGCGGGTCGTTTCGTCAATGACTGCCTGAGCTTATGTGAAGGGAGAAGGGCTTGTTTGAAGTATAGAGCTGCCAACGGCTCACTACAAACATCTTCTTCCAAATCGCCATATGCCTTCCAATATCGCCGAGCGTATTCGCGCAAAGACTCCTTTTTATCCTTCCGAGTATTGAACAAGGTATCCAATCCCTTCGAGATTCGGCTATTAGAAACAAACCGTGCGAGGAAGGCTTCGGAGAGCTGAGCCCAACCATAGATTGGTTGAGGAGGAAGCTTGTCATACCACCGGAGGTCGTGCTCACCAAGGCTAGAAACATAAACCTTGCACATGAACGCATCGTTCTGATTCCAAAGTGACATCATTTGACGGCAATGGCTGATATGAGTCAGGGGGTCTGACTTCCCATCATAGAGGATGAATTTCGGTGGACTGTACTTATGAGGAGCTTCTACCGTTCAATCTCGGTGTAGAAGGGGGAAGAAATTAGTCGGTCCAAAGCACGACGCTCTATCTGATGAACGGACCGATCTAGATGCTCATTTGCCCTTTCTAATCGTCGTTCTGCTACTTTGTTCAATCGTCGGTCATCCCCTTAGTTGTCATTCAACCATGTCCTCAAGTCACGCAGTCGTTCGTCACGACGGCACAGAGGAAGTGAGATTGTTGAATAATGATTGATGGACTTTTGTCTTTTGCGAGAGTCTTCTTGGGGACTCTCTGTCCTACTACTGGCTCCCTCACTGCGTACCAGAATCGGCGACTACGCTCACCACGAGCAGGACCATAGTTAGACCGTTCACGTCGTGGGGGCGGCAGAGGAGTGTGCCTCCGTTGCTGAGACGGTCTACCTCCAGACTTCCTTGGCTCACTCTGAGGTACCATCTACTTTCTCAGTTGAGCACGTAACTCCTCAATCTCTAGACTCATCGAGTCGATGGCACGATCACGGTGGTCCTTCTCAACAAATAACCATTGAGATGACTGATAGGCGGCGACATGACGTCGCTCTGCCGTATGAAGGGTCGAACTATCGTGGTCTATCAAGTTATCATTCCCGGTAGGAAAGGCCATATCCTTGTCTTTGGTTCTCTCCGTTCCTGGAGTTTTCTCTCCCATCCCAGGTTGCGAGGTTCCTTCAATAGCCACCGTCGGAGTTCGTCACAAAGCAATCAGAGAACGATTCCCACAGACGGCGCCAAATGTGCGGACCAGTTTCCGCAATAGAGTAAGATGGAACTTCGTGGACGAACCCTGGTGCACCAATGGGTGAAGGCTTGCACAAGGAACAAATAGTTAGGTTGCCCGACCGGGGGTTGGCCGAAAACCCCTCCGACGGTCGAGTCAGTACCAGAGTTTGGTATAGACAAGATAGAGAAGACCAGTGTGTTTTTAGAGTTAAGAGATCGCCCCTTTCAAGGAGAGTAAGGTTACCTTTTATAAAGATCGTATGACTTATTCATCAAGCTCCCTCGTTCTCCGCCTGGTCCTCAGCCGTGATGGTAGCACATCCTTTAATAGAGGGGAGCAAGATCCGTCATTCATGGGCACCACGTGCCATTTACTTTACAGGGTATTGATTGATCTGTTAGCACTCATGTGTCGTGGAGTGGGACCCTTGGAGCCCAAGTTATGGACTTACCCTCTTCAGAGTGGGAAGGGGTGCTAGGGCCAGGCCCATGGTCTTCCCCTCTTCGGAGTGAGGAGTGGGCCAAGATTGATTAGCTCGGCCCATCATAGAGTGGAGAGAGAGAGCCCACTTCGGAGTGGGGACCTTCGTCCAGTCCAACGAGGCTCCATACAAATAGGCTTGAGTACGGAGTAGGGACCTTCGTCCAGTCCAGTGGGGACCTTCGTCCAATCCAACAAGGTTCCATACAAATAGGCTTGAATAATTGTGCCCCCTTCAGCACACAATCCAAGATGCTCCCTAGCGCACTCAATTATCTATTGCCGTGATCGTTCAACATCACATCATAAGTTATGTGTTTGCCACGTTTGTTGGTTCAACATCCAATTCTCTACATCAGCCTGGCATGACCCCTTTAAACTATCCCGACATTGATTCTAGTTAGCTCATATATCAGTCTAGCATGACCCCTTTAAACTGTCCCGGCATTGATTCCGGTTAGCTCCTACAACAGTCCAATGCGACCATAAACTGTCTCTCGACATTAGTTCTAGCCAGTTTCTACATTGGTCTGACACGACCTTAAATTGTCCTGGCATTAATTTCAGCTAGTTTCTACAACGGTCCGACACGACCATAAACTGTCTCTCGGCTTTAGTTTCGGCCTCTGATTTATTGGATAGAAACCTATAATATTTTTTTATTTTTTTGAAATAATATGTATTGTATTGAATGAATTGTCTTATACAATAGAAGGCCTGTATATATAGGCTGAGAAAGAGTATCCTACTAGAAATTTAACCATGAGAAAGAATATCTTAGAAGAGACTTAACTATGGCAATATCTAGTATATCTAGGAAATCAATACCTAATATATGTAGGAATATATACCATATATACATTAATATCTCCCCTCAAACTCAAGGATGATAAAAATCTTGAGTTTGGAGAGAAAAACTAAAACATGAAATAAAACTAAATAAAATAAAAGGTAAATAGATTGCAAAATCTGAACGGGAGCACAAGGGCGCTTGAAATAGATCAGAGGCCGGAACTAAAGTCAGGAGACAGTTTATGGTCGTGTCGGACCATTATAGGAACTGGCTAAAACTAATGCCAAGACAATTTACGGTCGTGCCTAACCAATGTAGAAACTGGCTATCACTAATGTTGAGAGACAGTTTGTGGTCGTGTCATACCATTGTAGGAACTGGCTGGAACTAATGCTAGGACAATTTAAAGGGGTCATGCCGGACTAATGTAGGAGCTAACCGGAATCAATTTCGGGACAATTTATAGGGTCATGTCGGACCGTTGTACAGATTGGCTAACTGGAATCAATGTCAGGACAGTTTAAAGGGGTCATGCTAGACCGTTGTAGGAGCTAACTGAAATCAATATCGGGACAGTTTAAAGGGGTCATGTCAGACCGATGTAAGAGCTAACAAGAATCATTGTCAGAACAGTTTAAAGGAGTCATGCCGGACCGATATAGAGAACTAGATGTTGAACCAACAAGCGTGGCACACACATAACTTATGACGTGATTCTAAATGATGATGGCAATAGATAATTGAGTGCGCCAGGGGACGACTTGGATTATGTGCCAAAGGGGGCGGCTTGGATTGTGTGCCAGAGGGGGCAACTTGGATTGGGCGCCAGAGGGGGCGGCTTGGGTGGTGCACCAAAGGGGATGGCTTAGGTGATGCACCAAAAGGGGCAGCTTGGGTGGTTTGCATGGTGTATAACCATGCTCACCATGATATAGGTATAATACTTCCCTTCAAACTCAAATAGGTTTGCAGATAGAAACCTATGTGAGGTTGAAACAGAGGGAAAACAAAGTGGAGTAGAAACACACAAAAAATTAGATTACGAGTAAAAAATAAATAAAAAAATATGAAAGAGTATCCTACAAGAAATTGGATAGTAGAGAGAGAGGAAATAATATGTATTGTATTGAATGAATTGTCTTATACAATAGAAGGCCTGTATATATAAGCTAAGAAAGAGTATCTTACTAGAAATCTAACTATGAGAAAGAGTATCCTATAAGAGACCTAACTATGGCAATACCTAATATATCTAGGAAATCAATACCTAATATATGTAGGAATATATACCATATATACATTAACATCCCCCCTCAAACTCAAGAAGGATAAACATTTTGAGTTTGGAGAGAGAAACTAAAATATAAAATAAAACTAAATAAAATAAAAGGCAAATAGATTGCAAAATTCGAACGGGAGCGCAAGGGTGCTTGAAATAAATCAGAGGCTGGAAAGTAAGGACATTTTGTGGATTAGGATTTATAGAATTTGGTAGTTCTTCAAGTTTACATATTATTCTCCAGTCTTGCACAAACGAGGCTATTGTGGATAACAACTGTGGTTTGTTAATAGCTATCAAACCCTATATTTGTTTGGTTATTTAGATTTCTAGTGTGACTTCCCTTTTGTTTTGTTTTGTTTTGTTTTATTAATTTTTTTTAATGCTTTGTATGGTTCTAGGATTTGTTGAGGGAAAGTAGGAAACAAAGTATATGAAGCTAAATTATTTGCTTTTGTTTTTACTTGGTTGGGCTAAGAAAATGAATAGGTATTCCTCAAAATATATTTATATATATTTTTTGGTTTTTTTTATTACTCACAAAAAAATTAGTAAGTAAGAGTAATTTCTTTTCCTTTCCATTCAACAAATCCAAGACCAAGCATAACATTGGAAAAATTCTTGGTCTTTAAGCATGATAATGCAATAACTTAAATGGAAGATGGGTCGGACTGATCCACGCTTTCAATAGGTCTGCTGGTTTTGGTGTCTTCGAAGCATGCCTGCAAAAAGGTCCAAATGGGGGAAATTGACCCCTGACGGACACTCCAACGATCAAGTTAGGTCAAGATAGATTGATTTTGGAGAGAGAGAGAGAGAAGCAAAGGGGTAAAGACTTAACCTCTAATGTATCTCGAAAGCTTCCTTATATCATTTACTCATTATTTCCTTGTCCGTTCTAAACTATCTTGTTGACTGAAAGTCTATGGCCTAGTTAATATCATTCATGGTGATTCTGCGTACTCCAGCATGAGGGGTCTTACCGCATTTAATGCTACAGTGGCCTCATTAAATGGCTGATGTGTGGGTGCAATAACTTTGCAAGATCTTTGTCTGCTTTACGTGGCTGATTCCCTGTTTGACAAGTGTTTGGATGCTATTGGTCTTGAGCCAACATTAGTTTCTCAAAGTTATTAGACTTTAACACCTGGGTCGTGAGCTGGGCCCTAAGCCGTGGACTAGGCCCCCTTGGGTGCCCCTTAGTAGTATCAAAGCAAATAAAGACCAATGCATTAAAAAAGTTTCAGAACAAGTTTAAATATTGATGATAAATTATTTAGAGAAATTATAAGAAAAACTAGTTATTATTGATATAAAAAAAATAGTCTTTATTTATGAAAATAATATAGAAAATTATTATATTTTCTCAACTTTCAAAAAGTGCTTTTGATAAATTTCTCATCAGCTTTTTAGAGTTTCTGTAAACTTTTTAGAAGTTGCCCTTCCGTTCCCAAAAGAAAGCTATGGGAAAACGAATTTCTGCATTCAATGTAGTTAGGGGCAATTTGGAAAGTTAGTAAAAAGTCAGTTTTTTAGCTTTTTACCAACTTCTTCCAGAAAAGCCATTAAAAAAGCCATCAAAAAAGTCAAAAAATCAAGTTTTTACCAACTTCTCAAAA